ATTAATTTTTTTATAATTTATTATAAATTATTTGCTTATGATATGGCATAGTGGAGTTCATTTTATGTTGCCTTGGGCTGGTATGGATTATTTATATAGTGCTAGAGTCTTTAACATTTTTATTAATTAAACTTGGAGAGTCCAACTTTATTTATTTTGGAAGTGGATTTGACAATGAAGAGTTTATTGAATTAAAAGGAATTATACATCCTAAATAAAAGTAAAATCCAAATACTTTTGGACTCTATTTATTGAAATCCCATTGGCTGGTATTTTATTAGGAGTTAAGTTTTATTAGGAGATTTGATCTTTAATTTATAAGGAGAGTATGACCCGGTCAAAAGGAGGAGGATGAGGTTGACTTTTAGGAGTTACAACGGATGGATTTTTGCTGGATTTTGCTCATTTTTCCTGTTTTTGGCTAACCAGCAATGTGCATGAAGGAGAGAAAATTAGGGTTGTTGATATTATATTTAACTATGGATGGAGAGGTAGTTCAGATTTTATTTTGTATTGAATGAGAGTAGGTATAGAGGTCTATAAATTTCAATTTTGAAGATATTATTAAGTCACGTACACAAGCTTACCTTTCAACATAAATTATTTATTTTTCAAAACTCTTTGTTTTTCAAGCATTCTTCAATCTAGCCTAGTGCTTTCTCTTAATTTTAAACTATTTTCCAACACCTTTTGTTCAAGTTTTTAGTCCAGTAGAAATAGATCAGCATCCTTAACAGATTATTGTTCTTAGTTGATTTAGTTTTTTAGATAAAATTAATTCCTGACTTTCTCTTATTATTGTAATTTACTTTTATTAAGTTTCTCAATTGTTAAAGATTTATTTGATTTGAATTCAAAACATATCTACAATTTCAATTAAACTTAGAATCTTTTTTTTTTATTGCGTTTTTTACATTTATGTCAAATTTACTATTTTTACCTGCAATTTTAATTTCTGTTTAACTTTGTTTTCTGCACTTTATTTAATTGATTTTCAACATTTGTCCTTACCTTATTTCATTACAGTATTTTAATTTAATTTTTTTTATACTCATTTATTTTAACCTAACCCTTAACGTACTTTTAAAGCAAAGTTGAGCTTATTGTGTTAGAATTAATCCCTCATTTTTTTGTCAATTTTCTGGTTTGAGTACATTACACTTTAAATTATGTTTTTCTGACAACTTCTTGTTGACAAATCCTTTTCTTGCTTTTCTTTGCAAAAGTAGATAGTACACATTTATTGCAATTTCTGCTGGCCAATAGGATTTTAGGAATACCAACATTACATATATTTTTCTTTCATAAAAAAAGAAATTATATAATATGAGATAATTTT